TATTTTATTCAAAATTAGCCACAAACAATTCATTTAGGTACCACACTGTTTTCATTCATTTTAATTTAATACATTAAAATAATAATTACACGATTTCAACAGTAATAAAATTCAGAAAAAAATCATGAATATACGATTTCATCTTCCTACAATTTAAAATGAGTAAATGAGAAGTTTATTTGCTGCAAATTTTATGTTTACTATGTTGGCGTCTACCTTTAACTGCTAGAATGTACTTCGTAAAATTTTACACATCCTACTGCTCATTTATATTTTATTTAAAATTTTTTACCATAAAGTTTTCATCTAAATTCATTCAGACTCATCCTGAAAATGAAAATTTGTGAGGTATTTTATTTCACTCCAAAAAACTTTTTCTTGTGTATTTCTTAACAATACCAAAAACGTGATTTTGTTTTGTATTATTAACCATTCAAGTTGGTAAAATTTACTGAACATCATATACAATAAACAAAATAACCATTTCGAAACGTTTCCAAAATAGTTGGCACGCAAGCATTTTCAAGAAATTTGAAACCCCATCGAATTGAGATTTGAATCCGCTTTGACGTTCGCAGAATTCCAGTCAAATCGGAGAGGTGGAGCCGCAAAATAAACGCGAAACGCGCGGCGGCCGCGGCAATGGCGGAGTCGCCGAAACACAGAGAGCGCAGGCGGCGGGGCGGCTTCGCTTGAAATTCAAATTTTACGGCTCTACTCGGCTTGAGCGCGCGGGGCGACCTTTCTCGCCCGGGACACAGGGGGACATAGCGGGACATGGAAGGACATTTCGGGACGCAGCCGCAACTCGCGTCGGAGGTTCGGCTCAAGGCGGATTCGGCCCACGTGTACTTGGGGGAAATTTACGTCCCCCCGGCGCATGCGTAGGCGTCGGTCCGTGTGAATGGGCCCGGTAGCGGGATTTCGCCGACGGAACGGCCCGCAACCGCCGCGCGGTATGGAGATGTTTGTTTGAACATCTGCGTTCGGTCGAACATCTGTGGCCGATAGCCTTGGTCGGAGACAAATAGAATTCTTCTAGTTTGGAGCGGTCCGTGCTAAAAGTGAAGTGAAACGCCTATCGTGTTTGTTTTCTTGTGTTAGAAGGCGGAAATATGGCCGGTAAATCAAGAATTGGATGGAGCGCATTCAAAAACGTTCAGTGTAGATTGGTGCTTGTGGAGAATATCGTTGAACTTTACAGCCTCCGAATGTAGAGACTTCTATTCAACTGAATAGAACCAGTAGCAACAGAATGACGGCGGAAATCAACTCATAAAAATATTGCATCTGTAAGCTGATTCGATGAAAAATACATGCGTTTATTTTAAAAAGGAACCTGTTTTATGTTCTTCGAGTTTCATGTTAATAAAATAACTGAAAAATTATCCATTCATTTAAGAAGTTCCGAAAAATGTTTGTAAAATCTCTTAAAATGTAAAAAATAAACGAGCATGGAGAGCAAAGTTCGCTTGAAAGTTAACACACAAATTAAACAAGTTTATTATTAATTTTTATATGTATTGCAGATCTAAATTGTACATTAAATAGTACATTTCACACTGAACATCTTTTGACCGAGAAAAGAACCGAGAAAAACATAATATACGGGTTTTTCAAGAATGAAAAATAGGTTCAAACTGATTTGATAATCCACAATAAAACAAACAAAAACGTTAGAAAACGAAACGTGGACACTTTACGTGAACATATTTTTTTCGTTGGAGGTATACGTACGGGGATTTAAAAAATTAAAAAGAAATCCTACTGCATACTACGTATTATTTGATGCTTAGCTTCCTTACGCCATAATTCTGCAGAGTAATAACATGTTATTAAATTTTATTTGGGACATTTTATCCCCAAAAATTCTCAATAAACTTATATTCTATATTTACGACAAATAAACATGAATCCAGACAAAATCTGGCAGCATGTTTTAATTCACCCTTCGCTCGATTACTTTTCCCATCGTCACTTTTTACACCGCCGCGGCGAAGTGGCGTTTTACTGCTGGGAAATCGCGTTCTTCATAGGTCATTTCTGGAATTAGAGTTATTGCTGTATAAATACGGGGCCGAGGAGGCTATTTCCTGCGATATCGCGAGGAGCCGCTGGGAGCCTCGGGAGGTCCTGGGGGTGGACGAGACGCGAGGCGGGCCAGGCCGGAACACGGAGTGGGGTGAGGGAGTCGGAAGGGGAGGCAACGGGGAAAGGGTGAAAAGGAAGGATCCGCTTCCTCTGGTTTACGCTTTGCAGACTTTCGTGTGCCGTTTCTTTGACGCTGCAATCAGCTTTGACTTGGAGGATATTTGGAGAAATGCTTTCCTTCTCCCTTGCAAATGTTTGCCCATTGTTCCTTTCCATCTTTTGCCACCTTCTTTTACGATAAACGGTGTCCTCTTTTTCAAACATCATAAATAGTTGTTTTTTTTTAAATTAATGAAATGTAATGCTTTTTTCTTCCCTACATTTTGATATTTTCTATAACAATTTTCACGTTTTAATTATTTTTTCTTAAGTATTTGTTTTCTTTCTTTGTCGTCTCTTCTTTTGTTGTGTCTTTTGTAACTCCATTTTCCTCTCTCAAGGAACACTACAAACATTTCTGTGTCCCCTGATTTTTATCTTTCTTTCTAACCCGCTGTTGTCGTCCGAAATACACCACCTACATTTTTTCAATTTCCTTCACTAGTGGCTTCTCCTTCCGTCTTCCCATTCCCTGTTTGAGTTCCTACGTATCTTTCGCTCTAACCTCTCCGTCGTCCGCGCCCTCGCCTTGTCCGCTGACTGCGCTCCACCCCTCTCCATCCTTCGCCCCTTCGCTCTCCCCCTCCTCCCTGCTCCCCAGAGAGCGGGAGCTGTCGGCGAGCGATATTAATTGCGCGGGGCGAGGGCGGCGGTGGGAGCGGTCACCGCTCGAGGCCCCGCGAAGTTGCCTTGGGGAACACCAGATGCGTTTGAAATGAATATGATGTGTACCTACGGATGCTGGGAAGCTAATGTAATCAATTTTCAATTAAATTAACGTGCAAAAATAGACGCTTCAAGTGTCAGTGCCTAAGGAGAGAGGTTCCTAGTGGTTCCTATACTGAAGAATATTCAATTTCCTCTCGTGTAATATATTTTATAGACTTATTTGTTTCAAAGACGATAGTTCATTTCATTGACATTTCTAGCAATAAATATTTTATTAAATTTGTTTACGCATTGAACGACAGTGTTCTTCACCTATTTTTTATGTGCAGTATCGTTATTTTGTTAACTCTAGTCATTAGGACCACAAACTAACACGCTTGAGAGCTGACAAGAGATTATAATCCTGAATGAACACAGTTTTCTAAATTTTAGTTGTGAAGAGCTTTCTTTTAAACAAATGTGTGTATCTCTGTGAACAGAAGTAGACGTCAAGTTCTATAGACATAATTACAGCAATATTTGCGGTAAGTTGATCTACTTCCTGTATTTGTGCTGAAGTAAAATACACCAAAAAACATACGTCTTACATTTCTCGTTCAAGGATTATAATTATCAATTATTTCGACGTTACTAGAAGTTGGAGACAAATATTTTTCTCGACTTCAGTATTATTAAAACTCAATGAAATATACAAGGCGTTTGAGTCTGTGTTTAATGGTGTATTGAATATTAATGGACGACAAATGGCCTGCTCTTGAATAGAATCACTCTTTGAGAAATAACAGAATATGAAGAGCAATATAGTTTTTGTGTAAAACCATTATTTACAGTTCATTGATTTATCCTTGATTTGCCATTATGATTTCAACAAAAACTAGACTTTTGCAATGCACCACTAGACTTTCAACAGGGTTTGGTTCTCATTTCAGTAGAATTGCATCATTTCATTATTGTTTTTAGTAGTCGGGAATTCACTCAAAAAAGTTTTAGGAAAAAAATGAATATTACTGCATGATTCATTAAGACCAATTAGTACATATTTAAGAAATAATTAATCACAAAACACATGTCATGTTGATTTTTTTCAATTTAATTTTTCCTTCACATACTTTTTATACTTTCAAGAAACAATAATGCCAAACTTTTATCTGCGTGGTTTTTTCATTTCGAAAAATACACATATGAAAATTTATGTTCCTGATAAATGAAGATAAAGCACCATCGCAAAACTCAAGCGTTGGGTGTGCGTTTCATGCAGAGTACTGTTCTGAAATGTTTCGCCATCTACTCGATCAATCATATGTCAAATTTCCATGAAGAGAAACAGTGGTACCATTGTACGCTGCGATCGTCAGCATCCGCGTCCAACGAAAATCTGATGTTCAGATTGACTAATTGGTCAAATATGGCGTACTAGTTTCCTAGGCCCTGATCAGTGGAGTAGTTCTGTTCGTGACAGCTGAAAATCATTACTCTACATACGAAAACAGTAAATTCGCTGCTCGAATCAGCGGTATATTTCTTTTCGTCTATGTCGCCTGACGCCATTAACAGCTTCAAAAATCTTAATGCCATCAACAATTGTATAAATCGTGCGGTGGCCACCATGACTTCACCGACTTCACTGACAGCAAAACTTTCTTTTCTTATTATATTCACTAATTCAACAGTAATTTTCAATAGTACTCCAATAGTCTTAGCTATCATTAGTTTTTCGGTGATCTGCATTACCAACTACCACCCACATTTCCTCAATCACAACTCTCAATTCCACCTGCAACTGCCTCTACGGACAGTGAAACTTACGCCATCACGTGTTCCAGTATCAATCGATGCCTCGAACCTATTGATCAACACCGACGCAATCAAGAACTGCATCCTTACCCGCCTGCACTCACAGTTTCATCACCGGCTTCCGCTTAGAAATTATACCTCTTATTGTCATAGCCGCTTCAACCTTCGCCTTTACCTTGCACTTCTATTTTTTGCGCCGGGTCGTGAATCGCTTTCACTATCCCCAGTGCACCGCGTTTTCTTCCAGCGGTCGGCAGCGAAACCGATCTCAAACAGCAGCCGCGGCGATGGTGACGGTGTCAGCAGCGGCGGCGGCGGCGGCCGTCTCAGAGGTGCTTCTACAAAGACGGGGCGCGGCTGATTTGAGAGCCATTGCGCCTTCACACGCGGACGGACGGAAAGAGGCGCGCGGTGGAGGCGAAAGGAGAGAAGAATAGACGGAGGAGAGAGAGTGAGAGAGAAAAAAAAGAAGGGCGGCGCTGCGAGACGGCGTGACGCGTCGTCGCGGGGTCGGTGGCGACGGCGGGAGGTGTGTGTGTCGGTGCGTGTGCGCCGCATACGTCCACACGCACTTCTACCCGGTAAGGCACCGAACAGGCCGCGGCGCCCGGCGGGTGTAAGCTGCCGGAAACTCTAAAGCCATATGTTCGTTTCAGAGGAAAGAGCGACAGTTCTTTTGCACTTACGGCTGTTGAATCACGTTGTGAAACGTTATTTACATTTCACGAGCATTAAGTGTGTCTTAGTGGACATAAATTTTCGCAATGCTAGAATTAACCTCATTGCCCAGCGAAAAATTACCATGGTATCGTTTTTATATATAAAGTTGTTAATAGTGCTGTTTTACTTATAGGCGTTGATGTACGCGCACATGCAAATTTGTGGTTATAATTGAGAATATTAACACCGACAGTTTTCCATTATGCCCACACTGCTAACTCCATTTATAGTTTAAGTGGAATGTATAATAATTGGTACTAAACAGTGATTATGTATCGGATGAGAAAATTAACATATCCATTTTCTGATAATGATATATAAACCGTGCGCTCGTAGTCATTGATGAAAGAAAAAACTGAACAAAAAGATTAACAGTAATGAGAGTAATGAGTTATTCAAACAAGAAAAACTATCAAACCGTCATAGATTTCCCGAGTACAAAACGACACGTAGAAGGAGCCGTTTTGCTGGAGGCGGAGTGGGACATGATCAGTTGGGCGGACAAGTACAAGGCGACTTTGCTCCCAAATGCGCTCCCGCTAACCGCTAACTTCCCGCGGTGTCGACAGCGCCCCGCCACGGGCAGGGGGCGTCGCCACTCCGCGCGGAGACAGGCCTACGCAACCACACGGCCCGCCGCCATCGCCACCACCGCTACCTCCGACACTGCCCCGCTATCACTTTCCCCACCACTCTCGCCACCGCCTCCGCCACCGCCGCCGCCACTGCCACCATCACCACCACCGCCGCCACCGCTGCCATCGCTCCCAACGCCACCGCCACTACCGCCAGCATTGTAGCCAGCTTCCATCGCCGTCTTCACTGCCATTGCCACCGGTGGCCTTCCACCGCTATCACCACTGCCACTACTACCATTACTGCAACCACTACTGATTCCTCTTCTTCACCAATGCCACTGCGTTACTACCATCACGACTCCCGCAGCCGCCACACCGTTGTCAACGCCGACTCCGCCTTTACCGTCACGCACCGCTGCTACCACTGCTACCATCCCAAGTTCCATTGCCATCACTACCTCCACTTCTACCACCAGCACCATCCACCGCTGTCGCTACAACCGAAGTTGCCGTCGCCAGCCGCTGCTGCCACCGTGTTCGTAGGAGACACCGCCACCTCCTCCACCATCGCCACTGCCACCGTCGCTGCCGCCATTGGGCGCACTCTCCGCAAAAAGACCGCGGTACGAGCCCCGCTTTTTTCATTGAGCTCTGGGTGCCCGATTATGCGATTGCGGTTTTCTGATTTTCAGAGCTGCGGTGTACTTTCACTCGTAGTAATCACGCCCAGATGGTAGACATTCTGCTCCCGACGTCTACCGGTATCATTTCGAGCAATAACTACTTCCATCTAATTATCTCGAGTGTAAAAACCGGAGGTTTAATGGTGTGAAGCATTTAAAGGCTGAAATTCACTCCCGACGCCCTGTAGTTAAAAGAAACTTAAACTACTGGTTCCTTCATTCCTATTCGTTCGTATACAAAGCGGCGTTGCTTTACCACTCTCAGCCAAATTCAATGAACTCTAATATCTTATACCGTAACTCAGCATTTGAGTTCAACGCGGAGGAAGGCAATGCGGCGGGAGAAGCAGGAAAAGTCGTATGACGTTAAACCGAGCAGTCCTTCTTCGTAGGTGTGAGGTGGCGAGGTGGTCTGGTCGCCAAGGGCTGCCTTCCAGAGCGAGTTGGCCACAAATACTCGCTCTCACGACGGCTAGATATAATTGAGTTCCGAGAGATTTATAAGTTTGTGAAATTATAAGAGGAGACCTACTCAAAATATCGCGTAATGGAGTGCATTAGCTGAGGGCGGTAATTTGCTCGTTACAGTTCTGCTAAGGAGCCATTTATTAAACTGACACTCGGGGAGGAACCATTACAGATGCAGTTGATTGAAATAGGGACGAATAAGTGAGAGAACGCAACACCTAATAATTTCCGTTATTAAAGTTTTAAGGAGTTTCAAATAACATCTATTAAGCAATTACGTAGAGTGGTTATGATTGTAACATCTTACCTACGATGCTTATCATAACTCATACATTAAAATTTCAAACACCGCTACAAGTTTTCATCCGGTTTTTCTGGTTGCATGACATTTGATAGTTTGGTAGGTTGTGCAGTTAGTTAAGCAAATGACCTTTTAAAAAGAAGAAGCCTCTTTTTATACCAGGTCCATATCATGTGTTCGTTGTCGCCTCTGACTATCATTATCGCATTCATTATGCTTTTATAGCGGTTATTCACAATAATGAATGTATTGAAAAGAAAATGACGTATTGTACTTATCTTCTCATAGTTTGAGAGTTGAGTGAAATATTATTATCATTTTCTGGATGGAAAATCAAGTTTAAGAAAATTAATCTTTAATAGATTTCATCAAATTACAATAAAGTTTATAAAAAAGTATATTATATATTAAGTATATTATATTATAAATGCGTCCGTCCAGCACACACCTGCTACGTGTTGTCAGAATATTTTTGAAATCTTTTTTAATGAAAAGTGTGTTGCATCACTGATATATGAATTTATATTACAGGCGTTTACCAGAAACTAAAACTATATATTTAGTAGTATTGAGTCACGTGAGCAAGCGCATTAGTGAACAGTTGCACCACTGAACACGCAGACGAGTGAAGAAGCAAGCAAATGAACAGGCGGTCTAGCGAAGAGGCGAGTATATGATGAGATAAACTGGCCGAAAGGGCGAATGGTGGAGTGGGCAAGTGATCGAGCTGAGGGAATAATGGAGTGGGTGAACGGTCGAACAGGCGTATGGTCGAGCGAGCGAATGGTCAAACGGTCGAGCGGGCAAATGGTCGAGTGGGGCAACGATGGAGTGGGCGAACGGTCGATCAGGCGTAAGGTCGAGCGAGCGAATGGTCAGTCGGTCGAGCGGGCCAATGATCGAGCGTGGAAACGATCGAGCAGGCAGTTGGTTGAGCGAGCGAATGGTCAAAGGGTCGAATGGTCGAGCGGAGAAATGGTCGAGCGTGGGAACAATCGAGCAGGCAGTTGGTCGAGCGTGCCAGTGATCGGGCGGACGATCGGCCGAGCGGACCGCGTCGGGCGGAGAGCCGTGTGACAATCGAACGTACAATAGGTCGGACGTGGCGATATGCGCCAGGCGAGAAACCGAGCCCTGGTGGTTTTGAGGCGGAGCTAGCGCCGCTCGTTCGTGGCAACACACGCACGAGCAATGCGAGCAGAACGGGCGAGCGCGCGGGCGGGCGGGCGCGGCCGTCAGTGGAGCCAGCCGCGCGGTCTGCTCGCCCACGCGTCTAATTTACTTGCCACGGCCGCTGATCCGACTGCGACTCTGCCGCGGCGCCGACGCCGCGCCTCTCGTCGCCGCTTCTCTTCATTGCCGCCTCCTTTCCCCCCCCCCCCACCGCCCCCGCCCCGCCCGCCGCCCCGCCCCTCCTTCCACCCGCCCCACCCACGCCCCGCCACCGCGCTCATAATGCGGCCGCCGCCAAACAAGCGGCCGTCGGAAGTCTTCGAGATGAAGATTCTTCTCGGGCAGCGTAGGTACCAGAAAAACTACGACTTGGGCGAGAGTCAGCTGCCCAATGAGCGTTCTTGCAGAAACAAATGTTAAAAGCTTCCGTCCTTAGGCAATCTTTATTACGATCTTGTATTAGCGAAAATATTCTGAATTGCTTTAAGAGTGGCCATTAATAAAAGGATATTCTTTGTTTGCTAATATCAAGAGAGCGGTTTAATTGTGTTTCACTTCAAAACGCAGAAACGTTGTAGACTGTTCCTGGGCGGTCAATAATTGCGTTTGAAGAGTAACGTTAAGGAAACAGAATTAACAGAACATTAATAACTAGAGGGAAGTGCTCTGTCTGTCTTTGAAATTTTAATGCGTATTGAATAATTCGTTTTATAAAGATTTATTTTAAAAAAACGTAGAAAGATTTGCGTCATCTGCTCAGGCAGTGACGCGATTAGAGCTTGCGTTGCCCCGAACGCTCATGGAATTTGCGACCATCCTAACAAATTAGCGAACAAGATATCATTATTAAAAAAAATGAAAACTATTGCATACTACTCGCAAATGACCCGGACATAGTTCCATACAAATCGGAGGATGGTGGTGGTGGTGGTGGTGGTGGTGGTGGGCAGCGGCCGCTGCACTGTACCGTTCGCTTGAAAACCCCGAGTTCATATTTTGAAAGTTTAAAAATATGCTAATAATTGGCTCAGTTAAGAGTATTTCTTTATACAAATCGATAAAGTATTTTTATCGTCGTGTGTATTATTTGATTTAATTTTATTTCATTTGTTTTAGTAAAATTCACGAAAAAATGATTTAGTTACAACAATGTGAAATAGTTTCTTGAACCTTCGCTGAGAACCTCCGCTTGCTCCTACGGTGCCTACAAGCGCAGGCGATATTTTGTTTAATTTATACACGATAAAGACTTCTAGATTTCTTCCATTTAACGTTCTGAATAAATTATTCATTTTTACAATTCAAATGTTTATTTCTAAAATGTAAAATAAAAAGTTATTTATTGAAAATTACGACCTTAATTTAGGGATTAGATTACTATAAAAAAGTATCATTAACTATAATGCCGTCGGACAAAGTCGTAATAATTAAATAACAACATATAGCCGGAGGTTAAATTAAATCAACGAAAAGCATTTTATATTACTTGCTAGCCAGATTAAAACAAATTAAGTACCACCTTAATAAAAAAATCAAATCTCACTTACGTATGTCTGGTTCCAGTTTAACTAACATGTTGAAGCACGAACTACAATAAATAAATGTTTTTGAAAAATATACAATCCAAATGCATTAATACTAAATACACAATAACACTAGACTGTTGCCAATAGCTGCCGGCTTCAATGGCGGCGTTG